AGAACCTTGTTTGACCCCTTTCAATCCTCATTTTCTACAGGAGGAAATTGCTTTCAAAATTTACCACCTTCTACCCATTGCCTTAACTGTTGCACCTTTTCCTTCTCCTCTAAGCATGCGCACGCCTAGTACCCTCTTTGCACTCTCCTGTAACTCTTTGTCTGATCCTCAAGTCTGTGCTGCCAGCACCTTTGGAGACCATTTTCTTGAGCGCATGTTCTGCATTGTGACCTTCTGTCTTTCCTTTACAATGTCAGGCAAATTGGAAATGCTTACTAATAGAGTATTTGTACAGTGACTAAACTTATATTTGATCCAGATTATAAGCAAACACTTCAATAGCAGCAGAATGTTTTTGCCATCATTCACCTATAAAGTCAAAGGCTTTGGTTTTCAAAAGATGTTATGAATCTCTCAAATTATTTTATCCAGCAAAGAGCAAGTATTATTTATCATTGATTTAAAAAAAATACCTTATGAGGTTATATTTTAGGTTTTGAAAATTTAGGGTTTAGTAAAACTTCTATCAGAATTTAGTCTCATTTCCCTGCTTCATTTTTTTCTCTTCTTCCTCAACCAAATTTCTCCCTCAGTGGTCTCAGGACCAATAAGTATGTCTGAAGTTAGATTACAGTAGCACGAGTCAGAAAATAAATTTAGTTATTGTTCAAATCTTAATTTAAAATAAATTATGCTTTTCTGTATTCTTAAATACTTTGTGGCTTGATTCTTATTGTGTTCTGATTCACCAGTATTTGACCATAACGCCTCTTTGGAGAAAGATTTGACAATTTACAGAGTTTTTCAAAGAGGGATTCACCAGAGTACATGCTCTAAACTCATCTAATGGACTTAACTCAGATGGCAGAATCTAAAGCCCTATCTAAGACATAGTGAGTCAGAATAGCTGGCTGTGGGACCTGTGGGTCTGACTGTTATTAAAATGTCCATGTTATTTTGATGGACACTGAAGTTTTATCCTGCCTGAGGTGGCTGAAAGGCACCTTAAATCAGATAATCTTGATTTTAAAAAAATTATTATCTTTATTTGGTGGGCACTGAAGTTTTGTCCTGCCTGAGGTGGTTAAAAGGCCCCTTAATTCAGATCATCTTGAGTTTAAATCTTAATAATGTCATTTATTATTAGTTTTCTTCACTATTCCCAACTTTTGCATTCCAGTCACCCATTATTATCAATGCATCTTGATTGCATGTTCGATCTATCTCCGACTGTAAAAGTTGGTAGA